CCTCCCTGTCCCCCTCCCTGTCCCCCTCCCTGTCCCCCTCCCTGTCCTCCTCGTCCTCCATCTTCCCTGCTACCTACCTGTCTACCTCTAAGTTCGCCTGTCTGTCCCCTTGTCTGTCTGTCCCCCTGTCTGTCTGTCTGTCTGTCCACCTGTCTGTCTGTCCCCTGTCTGTCTGTCCACCTGTCTGTCCCCCTGTCTGTCTGTCCCCCTGTCTCTCTGTCCCCCTGTCTGTCTGTCCCCCTGTCTGTCTGTCCCCCTGTCTCTCTGTCCCCCTGTCTGTCTGTCCCTCTGTCTGTCTGTCCCCCTGTCTGTCTGTCCCTCTGTCTGTCTGTCCCTCTGTCTGTCTGTCCAGCTGTTTTCCTCCTGTCACCTTGTCTATACTCTTGTCTCTCTTCTCTAACCGTCTACCTGTCTGATTTGTTCATCAACCTAACATCCTGCTCACCTGTCTTCCCCTCTACCTCACTTCCTGTCTGTCCACCTGTCTACCTCTCTGCTCCTGTCTTTCCACCTGGCTGTCTGCTTGGCTCTGTTGCATGCTGACAGCCCCCTGCAGTCCTGCACACAGGCCCATAGCAACATGCCTGACGAAGATGATGATGATGATGATGATGACTATACTCTCTCTGATGATGACAATAAAGCTGATTGATGATCAAGTTTACTGATTCTGTTTCTGTTTGATATGACATCTGAAGAGTCTCTGAATTTGGCAAAAACATTTAAAGATAAAATAATTCCAGCTTGGAGATCATGAAACAGCGACAGGTTATGTTCCTGCTCCCATCAGAGCGGTGCCTGAGCGTAGCTTGGTGCTAATCTCCATGCTAACTCCTTCATATGATGACGTCTTAGACAGACCGCATATAATCCAAGAGAACATACACTATACTGCCAGAAGTTTATGTTCATCCGTCCAAATCATATCAATCAGGTGTTCTAACCTCCTCTATGGCCACAGATGTATAGAATCACCTCCATCATACCTACCGCCCAGACAGTGGTGACCGGAGGGGTCGCTCCCAGGAGCTCAGTAAGGTCCAGTGTGGAGCGGTGATAGGACGCCACATGTTCAACAAATCCAGCCCTGAAACTTCCTCGCTCAGCTGTATCATCAGAAAATGGAAAATGTTTGGGAGAGACAACATTTCAGCCGAGTCACTACAATGGCAATAACTTATGCGATGTATAATGTTGGACCCAGAAGTCAAGGCGAGGCAGGCAGCGGGAAAGTTCAAAGCGTTTCAATGCGGGTCTGCTCATCAGCTGCACGGCTAATCTCTGCAGCGATAGGAAGTACAGGTCAGTGACTGGATAGTCGGGCTGATCACGACTTGGAGCGTTCTAAACGGGAGGTTATTACGGCGGGCGCCGCCCCCAGAGTTCCTAGAAAGAGGGAGCAGAGCAGCTGCCAGTCGACGCCGAGCAGCAAGTTTCCTGGAGGGGAAATCCAAAGCTGGAGTCAGAAGACAGGTCAAAGTTCAGAAGCGGGTAGAATCCAGGAATCAGTCCAGAACAGATCAGACTAAAGGCTGATTGATAAACAGGAACCAGGTGGTCTGCGTAGGTGTCACGGTGAACGCACTCCCCCTCCCACAGACACTCTGCTGCACCTCTCCCATATTATAGGTGACCGCAGACAGGAGGCCTCTGATTGGTCAAATCTCCATCCGCTCTACACTATGCGTATTTTCTGTTTGGTTCCTGACCGCCATTGTGGAAAACGACTGGTGAAGATGGAGCAGCTAGCAGAGCGAGGAGCGTGAGAACGCTGGGACCCTTTTCCCACCTGGATCCCCGCTCTTTTTGGCCCTCATGTCCCTCCGATGTCCCACAGACTTGCCCCAACTTCCTCACCCATATCTAGAGCCACAGCTAGTTCCTGATTGGCCCTCTGGCGTTGTGGCGTGGAATAACAGCGCAGACCACGCTTCAAACATATCTGCGACACACTGCTGCGGGAGGAGAACCAGGCCTTAACAGAGCAGACAGGAGCAAAGCGGAACTCAGGATCCACAGCGCAAAAAAATTATCGCAATCAGGAAAACAGAAGAAGATTCAGAACACTAGAGTTCATCTCACCAAACTGCTGGAATCACCTGCCGCTGATAAATACCAGAGGAACCAGGTAGAAACAGCCACTGGACCAGTTAGAGAGGTGAGCAGGAGCAAATGAAAAACCCAATCATCAGCGCTAAAGAACATTACAGAACTACTATTTAACACCCTGTGCAATAACCTGTTTCTCTATATTTGACAATAACTATATATATAAACAGCCATGTAAACACCCTACTATAGAAAATTAATTTTAAAAAGCTGTCCTATGTGGACGCACTGTTTATACTGTATATATCCCATCATGCACCTTTTCCTTCCTTTGGCACCTTCTTCTTCTCCTTTGACTATTGAGCTGATGGTAAATGTCTCCACTGTGAGATCAATCTTGTCAACGCAGAGTCGGCCTTGTTCGCTGACGGAGCAGATCAGTGGATCCTGAAGCTCATCGTGCAAAGAGGTCACCAACGTTGTGCACACACCTCCAAGCTTCAGGTGTCCTTCAGGTCAGCTGCAGGACTGAGAGCTTCATGGGGTGGAGCAGCTCCACCCACGCCAAACCTCAGCGAGTGCAACGCCGTGCAGCGAAACACTGCACCACTGGACCCCAGAGCAGTGGAGACGCCATCTTTGGAGGCAGGAATCACGCCGTAAATCTGATGGACCAGTCTGGGTTTTATATTTACAATTTAAAGGTTTGACAGAAACACCTTTAGGTCATTTAGTCACATTAAAACAATAAAATAACCCAGTTTTGATCTGAAAGCTTCCACATGAAAGAACTCCTCTCCTTCAGACCAACGACTTAAAGCAGATTTTTCGGCTTCCTCTACTGTGTGAGTAATAATAATACTAATAATGATGATCATACATTTAATTTGTAATGCATTTAAGAAAACTCAAAGTGCTACAGGTAAAATCATCGTACACTGGAAAAACGATCTAGAAATAAAATAGAATGAGCATTTCTGCTCTTAAATAAGATAATTAGATAAAATGCACTTGAAAGAAGACAATGCAATTGTGTTTTCTTATTTTAAATGTAAAATAAGAAACCTCCTCAATCCAAGAAAAAATGCAATATTTTAAAAAAAATACTTATCTTGTTATTACTTATTATTTATAACTTAAAAAGTTTGGTTATTGTTCTATCCATGTTTCAGACTGTAATAATCAGATAAAAGGAGTGAATAATATTTTATGGTTATTTAGTTTTATTTGCACTAGGATATTCATTAATGGGCATTTAATGGTGTGTTCTACAGGAAGGGTTAGGGCATAGAGCTGGAATCCAGAGGCTGTGAGTTCGAGTCCCACTCCCACTGACTGCCACTCTGGGTCTCTGAGCAAGACTCTTAACCCCACCCTGCTCCCCGGGCCACACAATGGCAGCCCACTGCTCCCCAATGGGAGGGGTTAAATGCAGAGAGGGAATTTCTCCAGAGTGAGATCAATAAGGTTAAACTATTATTAATAATAAACAAACTAGCATTGATCTAATTGATTGGATGTATCTGGCCACTGATATAAATTTCTGACTGTGTTGGACCCCGCCTCTCACCCACTGATAGCACCCCCCGCCACCCCACTTGGGATTCAGCATGTCAGAAAATGGATGGATAGCTCAAACTGGGCAGGATGTCAAAGTGGTTGCTGATTGGTGGAGCTGGTCAGGCTTCATCTGCTGGGCGGAGCTCCAAGCTTTCTTTCTGAAACGGTGTATGATGACTTTACTCTGGTAATATTACGAATTTATTCTGGTATTACGAATTTATTTTCATATTACGACTTTATTCCCACAATGTTACGACTTTATTCTCCTATTACGTATGACTGTATGATCTGGTTGAACTGTAAAGTGCCTTGAGATGACATGTGTTGTGAATTTGGCACTATATAAATAAACTGAATTGAATTGAATTAACATAAAGTTACAACTTTATTCTCATAATATTAAGACATAATTCTCATAATGTTACGACTTTATTCTGTTAATATTACAACTTTATTCTCATATTACGATTTTATTCTCATATTACGACTTTATTCTCATTATACGATTTTATTCACATAATGTTACGACTTTATTCTCATAATATTACAACTTTATTCTCATAATGTTACGACTTTATTCTGGTAATATAACGACTTTATTCTTATAATTTTATGACTTTCTTCCCATATTACGACTTTATTCTCATAATATTACGACTTTATTCTCATATTACGATTTTATTCACATAATGTTACGACTTTATTCTCATAATATTACAACTTTATTCTCAGAATGATACGACTTTATTCTGGTAATATAACGACTTTATTCTTATAATTTTATGACTTTCTTCTCATATTANCATATTACGACTTTATTCTCATAATATTACGACTTTATTCTCATATTACGATTTTATTCACATAATGTTACGACTTTATTCTCATAATATTACAACTTTATTCTCAGAATGATACGACTTTATTCTGGTAATATAACGACTTTATTCTTATAATTTTATGACTTTCTTCTCATATTACGACTTTATTCCCGTATTATGACTTTATTCTCAGAATGTTACGACTTTATTTGCAAAATAAAAATAAAAAATCTCTAGTCTGGCTGTTTTCTTTTTTGTTCTTATGAAAATATTTTGCTATAAAACAAATATACAGATCTTAGAAACAAGAGATAATACAGAAGAACAATAGACAGGTTCTCTAAAAATAAAAAACATACAAAAAACAACATAAACGATTCTTTGAAAAATGGCTCAGAAATATCCGTGGAAGTATTGCTCTGTTTTAATCAAAGTATTTAATCTTTGAATTCATGTAGTAAACATCTGACGCTGGGGGACATTTTGGAATATTTATAATTATGTATCTGAAATGATGCAAACAGAATGAGCAGGATGTGATAAAAGTAGCAATAGTGTCTCACTGGGCTAGCCTGGCCATAATGCTCCCTGCTGTAATATTATTAATATGCATCATTGCAGCAGAAATGGCTGACTCTCCGGTGCTGCAGTTGCATGCTGGGAAGCGTAGTTTTGTTCCCGGCGCCAATCTGAGACCCCTAACATCAACCAGCTAATCAGCACAGATCGCCGATTCTTTCAGCCAATCACCACACCCGAGGCAACTTACTGACCAATCACAACCATTACACCTCAGAGCCAATCACAGACTCTCTCTAATGTGAACAGCCAATCAAATCACAACAACACGCATGATGCGGTTTGGCTTGGCGCATGCGCACAGTGTGGACAGCTGATAACTCATCTATTATGCTACTTGGCCATTAAATAAAAACCCAGCAGAGAAGCTTCTGGATCCGCCGCTGGACCAACCGGAGCACCACAGAACAAAGTAAACCGGGCTGGGGGGGTTCTGGAGGCTGGGTTCGGGGCGGGGAGGAGCGGATGTTTCGGGTCGCGGTGTTTCGGAGGCTGCTGGCCGCTCGGCGCCTTCAGACAAAGCTCAGCGAACAGGCTAACAGCTAGCAGGCTAGCAGCACGGAGCGGGAGGAGAAGCAGATATGGGAGAATTGGCCCAATAACTCCGGTACCAAACACCTCCTAAACCCACATAGGGTCGATGTGTCCCCACCACACACACCCTGCCACTCCGCCCCCTCCCACCGAGCGGGCCCTGGCTCCCCGGTAAGGAGCTCCGCTCGGTCTGCTAGGAGCGAGCTGCTAGCCGAGGCTTGCCCGCCATCTTTTCTGGCTCGGTAGGAGGAGGTTTCGGTCCAAAGGGCGATCGGAACAGCGTCCCAGCTGCGGCCGCTGCGGCTCTCACGGCTGCGGGCTGCAGGGCAGCGGAGGGGCGCAGCGGATCCGCAGTTAGGAGGACTATCTGCGGGGCGAACGGTCGCTAGCTGCTAGCTCGGTCATTAGCCGCATAACGGCAGAGGCGAGCGGGCAGCTGGGCTCCCCGGGAACAGGCTGCAGCAGAACCCGGCTGCCCGGCCCAGCCTGCGGGGCTCCTGGAGGTGCGGTTCGGGCTCAGCCAGGTTCCCCGGTATCAGAGGAGCTGGTGGGGTTCGGTTGATTGGCTTTAAGTGGTTCTAATCCAGCTGCAGGTTCGGACTGGGTCCATTTCTGGATGCTAATGTTTACAGCTGGAGGGAATAAAGTGATGATGAGTCCAGGCAGAGGCCTCCAGAAATGCTTCACTATAGTGATGAAGCTCAGACTCCAGTAAACACCTCAGATCCTGGTTTATGGAGCGATTTTAATGTCGCTGGCTGTGCAGAATGGGAGGAAATGATAAAGTACAATTAATACTGGACAGTGGGGGGGTCAGGGCATTGCACAGGGTGCAAGGGCTTCCAGGCCTTTGAAAATCATTGACTGTGCATTTGTTAAGGTCTGTGCAGGAAGCAGGAGGTTCTGATGGCCCAATGAGCAGAACTTTCTGCTCCTGAAAATGCCCAATAGCTCAATCTTGGGTCCAAATTGGAACTAATAGGATTTCCTGCGGTTCTGTCCAGCCTGAGGGCAGCGCATCGGTCCCTTGGAGTTTAATAGAACCACATCGATGTCATGCTCTGTTTCAGGTTGTAAAGTCTGAATAACGAAGATTAACCAAAACTTCATTTAATTTAGTTCAGCTTTCATTTCAATTTCTTAAAGTTCAGCAGTGATCAAATGTAAACAGTGTGGGAGGAAAAACATGGAATAAAAGGCATTGATCTGGAAGTTCAGAGCATTAATATATATAGAGCAGATATGCAGAGTTTTGGTTTGGTGTTATCAGTGTGAAACAGGCTTTCAGCGGGTCATTAAAGTATAATTTCAAATTAAGGCCTTAATTGGCATTACAATTCATTAAATGTGATAATTGTTGCATTCAAAATGCTTTATTTAAAAAAATACATATGATTAATAAAACACTTTCAGATATATTATATTGCAATATTTGCGTAGATCTGCTTCCGATTGATCGTAAAAATGTTCGGAAAAGAAGCTCGAGGCGGAGAAAAGGCCAGAGAATTGGAAAATGTCAATTTTGGGCTGGAAAACGCGGAATATGTGACATGGCTGCAGCCTGTCCATGGTAAAGATGACGAAGGATTTTACTGCATTATAACAAATATATATAGATATATAAAGATATATTGATGGCATTCAAATTATTTCTAAGAGCATTTAAAAGCAGTCAATTAGAGTTACTCCTTCGTGTATAAACCCTCTGACATGATTTATAGTTTTCTCATCAGTGTGATGGCGGTGGGGAAGAAGCTGCTGCAGAACCTGCTGGTCCTGCATTGAATGCTGGGAAGCCTCTTCCAGAGGGCAGCAGGGAGAACAGTCCATGGTGGGGGGGTGAGGGGTCATTGATGATGTCACGGGACACGCAGCGCTGGGATGAAATGTCTTTATGTTTGGCCGTCTAAAATGAGCCTGAACTGATCTGGATTCTGCTGATTCTAGTGTTTTTCTAGTTTTCCTGGTTTTCTAACTCGCTGTGAAGGCATCGCATGTTTGTTGGTTTAAGGAGCTTGGTGTTTGTTTCCAGCTCAGGTTTCCTTTGGACAACTAAACTGATCTAAAACATTCGAAATATTCAGCGTTTAGTTCTGATAAACGACCAAAAGGAGTCGCTCGTCTTTATTCCAGAGGTTCTGATGAACCCAGATGTTTCAGCTTTAAAGAGTCATGATGGAGTTTTCTAATGATGGCGCCACCTGTGGCCAAATGCAGAACTGCAGCTCCCTTCTGCTTGTAGCTTTCAGTCAGACCAAGGTCATTTTTTCCTTTATTCACCTTTCCTGGAGTTTCCATTGGTGGTGAGCTGGTTGCTGGTCGGACCCGTTCAACATGGACGCGCTGGACGTCACAGACGCAGAACAGAACTTTGCCCTGAAGTGGATTCAGGAAAACGGACTGATGGATGGTCGGCCTGAATGATCGAGGCGTCGGTCTGATCATCTATAACCAGGTTTTAGTCATAAAGGGTCAAATTAAAAGGATATTTTCAAGATTGTTCAGTTAAAACTTAAAGAATACGTCTCAGGTGGAAGTCGGTTTTGATCGGGTCGGAGCGGTTCTGGTAACCGCCGACCCGAGCATGGCATTCAATCTGAGGGCTGCAGAACCTCTGCCTCCATCCTAGAACCTGCTGCAGCGTTGCTCCTGTTACACCGTTGAAGATCAGAACCGGCAGTTTGGATCCAGAAACTGGTTCCTGGAATCGCCCAACTGGTGCACCTCCAGTAAAAGAACCTCAGAACCAGTTTCTGTGACTGTAGAAGTTCTGGGGATTAAATCTAGATGGGATGTTTTCCATTCAGCTTTGAGTCCAAACCCGGTTCTGTTGAGCTCTAAGGAGACCAGTCTGTCTGCTTTGCTTTCCCAGTTTAGCTCCCAGTAAACCGGGCCTGGGCTCAGCAGATCCGATCCGAGCCTGAAGAACCCGATAGAGAAGAACGTCTTCATTACCAGCCGATCCAACATTTGGTTCTAGAAAGTTCCTCCCAGATGTCGTTCCTGCTGCTTCTGACCCGACACACCTCCTTCTTCTGTCCACCAGAGGTTCCATCTGAGGTTTTGGATCTGGACCAGAACCTCATCAAGCATGTCCTTTCAGATGTTTCCTGTTGGTTCTGCTGAAGTGTTGGCTCGGTTGGAGAGTCCCTGGTCTTGTTCCGGCTTGTTGTGGAACATCGTGAGCTTCAGACCCGGGTTCTGCTGATATGGCAGCACTGCTGTACGCCTCCCAGTTCTCCCACTGCAGTCCAGAAAGGTTCCTTCAGGAAAGGGGGGGTTCTGGTGGAGCTGCTGGGTCCGGTTAGCATCTACTTGGCTGCTCTGCGCCACATTGGTTCCATGGTGCGTTCGCTGACCGTCGGGCTTCCTGGGTCGGTGTGGGAACTGAAGGCTCGGGGGCTGTGTTACTGAAACTTCAAAATAAAAGCTTCCATCAGTTTTCTGCAGTTAGAGAATCACTCCTCCTTCTCCTGCAGACCTCCGGAGGTGCTACCGGGGCAGGAGCTCCACCAGACGGGTCCAACAACCGGTGGTCATGAGTCACCAAGCGCCGCCACAGGATTATCTTTTAGCTCCGCATTAATGAATCGGACATCTGTGAGCGTCATAATTAAAAGGATAGACATTTTTGCCCCACCCCCGCGCTGTTTAAAACAGTAAAGTTTTATTTTTCTAGACCTGCTGATATTAATCAACCGGTCTAGAAAAATCATCCAATGAGGAAATAAGAACTTGAGTCAGAACGATCAGTGAACAGCTCCAGGCTGTGATTGGTCGGCTCAGTGCTCATAGAAGTGACATCATAAAGTCCTCTGCAGGTCTCCTGCTAAACATGACGTCTCAGTCGACCGTTAGGAGACATGATGTCAGCGTGGGCGGGGCTAACGGTCTGTCTGTTGCAGGTCCTGCGATGGGAGTTGGTCTCTACGGGGGATCGTCTGAGCCGAAGCGTCTCCACCTGCAGCGCCTGAACTGAAAACACCTGAACCCCCGCCCCCCTCCCCCCTCATTTGGGCTGCCACGTTTTCTCACCGCGTCAGACGCTGCATTCCCACGGTGCATTGCTGTGCCTCCATCGTCCACCATGTCGGACGCCCCTGAGGCTGCGCCCGCCAGCCCCCCTCCCATCACCAACCCGCCCCCCCCAGAGGTGTCCAACCCCAACAAACCTGGCAGGTAAGGCTCAGCTGGACGAAAGGCGCTGTGCGTGACGGCAGCGCTGTGCGTGGCGGCGGCACTGTGCGTGGCGGCGGCGCTGTGTGTGACGGCGGCGCTGTGCGTGACGGCAGCGCTGTGTGTGACCCGTGTGTGTTTGTGTCACAGGAAGACCAACCAGCTCCAGTACATGCAGAACGTGGTGGTGAAGACGCTGTGGAAGCATCAGTTCGCCTGGCCCTTCTACCAGCCGGTGGACGCCATTAAGCTCTGTCTGTGGGTAGGTGGACGCTCACTACCGTTAGCCTGGCTAGCATAGAGCCAGGCCTTCAACTCACACCTCTGTCTGCAGGACTACCATAAGGTCATCAAGAACCCCATGGACATGGGGACCATCAAGAAACGCCTGGAGAACAACTATTACTGGAGCGCCAGTGAGGCCATGCAGGACTTTAACACCATGTTTACCAACTGTTACATCTACAACAAGGTATGCCGTCCGACACGCACCTGACTTTAGCTCGACGTTATCCTGACGTTACCCCGACGTTATCCTGACGTAAGCCCAATGTTAGCATGACGTTACCCCGATGTTAGCGTGACGTAAGCCTGACGATAGTCCGACGTTAGCCTGATGTTCGAGGTTAGCATGACGTTACCCCGATGTTAGCGTGACGTAAGCCTGACGATAGTCCGACGTTAGCCTGATGTTCGAGGTTAGCATGACGTTACCCCGATGTTAGCGTGACTTTAG